GTGCCACAATCTTCCGTTGAGGATTGTAATGCGTAAGCATCAGGTCCGACTTGAGTAGCTCCTTGAAAATCAAAAACGAATGCTGACATTCATCCGTCCAGTCCCACTATTTGTCCGTCCTTGATGAACTTCGCATAATAATTCACTGCACCCAAGAAAGAACGTATGACATTTGCTGGTGGAGGCATCTGAGAAATTGCCGATACCTGTTCCGGATCTGTACGAATACCATCTCGATCGATGATGTGTCCCAAATACTTCACTTGAGTCATGCCAAATTTGCACTTCACAATCTTGAGTCGAAAACCGTATTCCTGGATCCGTTGAATGGTGTTATCGAGGTTGCTGTCATGCTCAGCCTCAGCTTGCGATTTACAAAACACAATAACGTCATCGAGAAAAGATTCAGCCCCTTCCAAATCGCCAATCATGTTGTCGATACATTTTTGGAAGGCTCCAGGAGCTGATTTAACCCCCGAGGAAGCCGCTTATATACTTGAAGAGTCCTTTGTGGGTATTCACTGTTAGCAACTTCTGGGAATCCTCCTCAACCTCCATCTGCAGATAAGCGTCTGACAAGTCCAGTACTCTGCCAGCAAGCGTTGCGAAAATGTCGTTGGGAGTAGGTAGAGGAAACTTATTTGCCTCCAGTACCGCGTTGAGCCCCCTTAGAATAATCCGCGTACATGCGTACTATCGGATCTCCATCTGCGTCACGCTGTGCCTTTCGAACCGCAACAATGGGTCCCGCCCAGTTCGAAAAATCCACCTGCTCGATAACGCCAAGGTTCTGGAATCGCTGGAGTTCTTTCTCCACCAGCCATTGTGAATGAAACGGTGCCGATCTTCTAGGTTTGAAAACCGGCTTCATCCCTGGTTGAAGAAAAAGCTGAACCTTCGTTTGCGTACAAAGTCACTGGATACTTTGCCTTCAGTGAATGGCAATACACTTCCGAATCTCCTGTAGTCGAAACTAGCTTGCAGAAGGAATTAATTGGCACGTCATACAGACCAAAATCATTCATGAGATCACTTTCAAGAACGTTGAAGCCTTTCACCGTTGTCACGTAGCATCCCTTCAATGTAACCTGGTGCTCGACAGCCCAGGCTCATCCCACAGTAGCAGAGGATCGCGAAAGTCGAGGACGGGTTTTCCTGTAGATGGGGAGTAGTCACGGAAAATCTGTTAGGTGGATTAGCTAATCGGAACAGCTGGCGCGAATCTAGGGTGATGCACCATGCCATGGAATGCGCCAATGGGTAGCCGGTAGGGTAATATAGCAAGGTATTGCTGATTTCATCTGAAACTGGACTGTCCCAAAAATGCAAAAAGTGTGATAAAAGTGCAATGCTTGCATCATAAGGAATAAGTGTACCGAAGACACCAAGACGATTAGACGTAAACTTGCAGTTTTATCACACTTTTTAATAAGTGAAAACGCGCTTATTAGTCCAATTTGGTGTGAAACGCGCAATAAGCATTTTTTATCCATGTAAGTGAACCACGTATGTGGTTCATTTTCTTATTCAACGGTCAGTGTAGGTGTTAAATGCTAAGTGAATAATAAATGGGGAACATTAGTTTTTCAAAACCGTTTCTGAGTTAAGAAATCCCTAACTCAAAGAACACACTAAGTTGAGTGCGGGTATAAGCTCGTGTAGGACCGTCATAGACAGGCAGAATAAAATACTTCAACCCTGGAGATCATACGGAATGACCCAGACAACCAGAAGTCGTATAACAATGGGAGACAGTATCGTAAATTGCTACAGTATAAGTCAAAATCGCATATAAGAATGGCATACCTCGCATTATGTTTAAGTTAAATCGTATAGAATGCAAATTGCCGACTTATATGCGATGACTCATTTTTCCGTTGTACTGTATCACAAATTAAATCAGATTACATCGTAAGACTTTTCAAAATGATTTTGTTATTACAGATTAAATCGCATATGATGTTAAATCAACTTCTTTAAAATTAATATAAAATATGCACGTATATGGCCTCCACTCCACTTTTGTACGTATAAGCCATTTCTTTGCATAATATACGAATTGTTTGTTTGTATATATGTTTGTATATCACGAAAACAACTTTGAATATACGTGCATTCTGGTTGTCTGGGGAGTCCACAGACCTACCTCTGACCCAGCATAATGGATAAGGATCTTAGTTTTGTTTTGGCAGGCAGTCTCTACATCTAGCCTATTTACATCTTTCCGATGTTTAGGCTATTTATTTTAGCTTTTGTCATTTGTGATCATTTGTCTGTGGTCATTTGTGAAAGTGTTGATCAGGCATGGAAAACAATTTACAATAATTTCGTACATCCATTTACATTCAGGGTGTCCATTAAAATCCAGGTTTTCAATTCCCGGTTATTTAATAATGAACCAAACCCCAACATCACCTCCGCCTTAAACAAAAAAGGCGTTAAAAAATAACCGTTCAGAGATAATCATATAAATTTTTGAACAGAATTGCTTCACTTTATAGAAAAAAATATGATGATATTTTCATTAACATGTTGATGATCTAGATCTCAAAAATCTCATGGAATCATGAATTTGTATAAAATTAAAGAGTTTCACTGCAAAAAATGAGCCTACATTTTGTTTTGGTATGTTGGAAAAAGCATATATCAAGGCCTGAGAATTAGAAACCCAGTCTTGGAGTTAAGATCTTGAAGTTCTATAAGTCAAATAACATGTGTTAATAAATTATTTATCATTCTCGAAATGGTCCTGGCGATATTTTATTGTTTCATCGAAATCTTGTCCCTTGTCCACTCCGAAATTTTGAGCATTTTGTACATCATTTAAAATTATTAATTGTGTTTAAAAATAACATTTTTGAATTATCCAAACCATCCCGAATATCTGATTTTGAAATTCTACAGACTCAACAAGGTATACGAAGATTCGGCTTAATAATAGAATGGTTAAACCTTCGTGAAGCCCATTAATATCATTGATTTGGTTTATTGGGTTTTCCAAAATGCCTGGACACACCGTGGTAGAAATAACAACAAAATCACCATTTGCACCGTGCGCGAACACATTGTGAGCAATATGTGCAATAATTTTGAGGATTTTTAGATACTTGACTGTGGTAAAGACATAATATGAAAGTTGTAAACAGATGTGTAACGAAAAGAATATAATGGTGTATGTGATATACAATTGATTGATTCCAAGTAACATTGCAAGTTTTATAAAGGTTTTAATGATTCTTCAAGTCCAAATTATGGCCTTCAAGACTATGATAAACCCAAATTTGTTACTTGGGATGACTTTCCCGGTGCGATTGGGATTTTCCCGTATTTTTCCCGGTTTATTCTCGGCAAATCCGGATTCCCGGTTTTTTCCCGGTTTTCCCAGTTGGATGGACAGCCTTCATTTTCCTCTAACTTTTTTCATCAACAAAATTCCGTAAAATGATGTATGAGGCTTTTGCAGTTTTTGATAGGGTTAACTACCCCATTTCCGGCTTATTAAGCACAACCCGCACTTAGTCTTTCTTAATCTAACGTAGTTTAGCACCAAACGGAATGTTATTAATACTGATGGCTTCCAAATTTATTTACCTTTCCGTACGTACCGTAAGATTTGATAAAGAGAAACAAATTGTTGAGATATTGTTAAAAGTCTAACACTGTTTCTTGACGCCAAACTCGGCCTACTGATTCTAAACTCAACCTAACGCATTGAAACGCCATTGAAACGCCAATGAATTTACTCCGGCCTATCGGATGAAGATAAAGATTGATTCGGTCGGAGCGCTACATTTGTATTTGAGAATATTGGGTGGAAACATTCATATCACGCGTTCTTATTGACTTCGTTCGGTAGCATTTGAACTAAAGTATCGTACCAAATGCATTGTTTAGCTGTTAACGCCGAAATCGTGGATTAATTTGTTGTTTTCTGCTTGATAGGCCCAAAAATGGGTGCTTAGGCCGAAGTAGTTCTCTACCCTATTAGCTTTTGCGAATAACTCAAATCTGCATCTCTTATCTAGGACGTACTAGAGTGGGCAGAACTGGTTATTGTTTATCAGTGTCATTCACTGAAAAACAATAGTGCGTTCTGCTTCATCATGCATAAGAGATACATATTCAAGTTATTCACCAAAGATGTAGTTACTTACAAAACCTACAGAAGCTTCAAACATCATTTTACGGAATTATGTTATTGAAAAACTTTAGACGTAAATTAATGCACGAAATGAAGGTACATTATTTTCCATGCCTGGGGATGATCAAGATCTCTGAAAATGATTCCATAAGGACTGTGAACTTATCCCGTATGATGCCTGAAGTTTACCCGTAAGAATTTTGGACTTAACTCAAATCAAATGCCATCTGTGGTTGACCAGTAAGACTTCTGGAATGAACTCTTAAGCTGAGTTTAGACAGGGCAAGTCAATTGATCAAGTCAGTTGAATTCAATTGGCTTGAAAAGTTGAGCCTGATTCAACTTTTTTTCAATTCAAGTGAGTTGATCAAGTCAGTTGAATTGCATGGTTTACACGATCAATTCGCGTTCAAGTCTGTTGAATTCAACTGACTTGATCAATTGAATCGCCCTGTCTAAACCCAGCATTAAAATCTTAAGAGATCATCCTCTCACTTTAGTTCTCTTTAATTTACGCCACTTACACATGTTTCATTCACTCAGTATTCACTAGCTTATTCACACGATCACTCTCAATCGCAGCCACCCTAAATGCAAGTATCAACGAATTGTAAGTAGAACACCGACAAACAGACATGAAATTTAAACTTAACTCGTGATCGAGAATCCATAACGCCGGATTCAAATGTGCAGCGATCCCATCTTTCAAAACCATAGAAATTTGTTATCTAGATAAAAATAATTTTCCCGGAATAGATTAGACACGAACCAACTCATACATTTTGTATGCGTGTTCGTGGCTAGGATACACATTTTTCGCGAACACGGCGGCAGATGTTGGTTTGTCGGTGAGTAGAAGGTACTCAGCAAGTATTGAAAATAAACGAATGAACCGAAGACGATGATCGAACACTTACATGCTAACAAACAGAATGAATAAAACCAAACTAGTCATTGTTTACAAGAAAAAAAAACTTTATTTTTTTTTTTCAAATTGGATTAGCTTCAGTTTCTTCTTATCATGAACGATAGCTAGATATTTGGGAAATAACTTAGGTTTACTGTGCGTTGCAAATAGACTGTGTTTTTGTGACTGAACTGAAGAAAAGTATACATAGTATAACATAAATTAGACAATGGTAAAATAATAATAAAAAAAGAACTTACAACCTATTCTATTTCCGATCAGTTAAATAAGACATAAACTTAACATTACTGCGTTACTGGATGGTTACACAATTCAGTAGTGATAATTGAACATTTTACTTTAGTAGAAATAAGCATGGTTATAGGAAATCCTGCGCTTGGTTACGAACAACGGACTTAGAGACGTTTGCATTCATTTGGGATCCCAGTTTCAATCAACTACCACCACAACTAAATTATAGCTTCCTTAGTTCATGTTTTTTGTTTTACTAAATCAATTAAATTGGGCAAAACCTACTGCATTGCGGGTTAGGCCAGGAGATTACATGGTTTCGTTCGCTAAAGTGAGTGTGTATGTCTGTAATAACGTTTATCATCATGCACAACAGAGAGACAATTGACGAAAAAATGAAAATCTAGGCGCGTCTTCTTGCTTCCTTCTAAAAAAAAATGTCACGATTTTGATGCGTGCGATAGGTGTAGTAATGCATGATTCCTTGCTGTGCGAAGGATGAATGACTTAGAACTAGAGCAGCGTGCTCTCGTACCCTCAAGATGTGGTGGACGACTGAGTCATGAGGTTATCTTTAGATTTACCTTTGGCCATAGCGGAGGGGAGGGTGCCATTGTTGGTGGACAGGGCGGACAGGGTCCGCTGGTGGTAGCCCAGCCCCGGACTGCTGGCCGAGGAACTGTCCGACGCTGCATTGTTGACGGCGGCTAGCGAAAGGGCCATCGGGTGATGGGTTGGACTCTGCGACGGGGTACTGTTGGTACTCTTGGCCTTGCGGAACCAGTTGCCCAGTTTCCGTCGGCCGAGAGAATGGGAACTATATTCTGGTTGCTGCTGCTGCTGCTGTTGTTGTTGTTGTTGTTGTTGCTGTTGTTCTTTGGTCGATTTTCGAGACTTTTTCGGCAGGGTATTGCCCGACTGCTTACCGCCTATATTCGTGGGAGATTCTTTCAGCACGCTACAATTGCTGGTCCTCGCGCTTTGGGACATGTTGCCCAGGAGAAACTGCATACTGTCCGTCAGTTCAGCACCGTTACTCGTTTCCGTGTCCGTATTGCTGCATCCGTCCTTCTCGTCCGTGAAGGGGAAGTACTCTCGATCCGATAGGTTGTCGTCGTCCACGCAGGCTCCGTCTAGTTCGGACACGAACAGGCCCTCCCCGCAAAATTGACGTTCCGCCGAGAGGGTGTTCAGGAAGCGCAACTTGCTGCTACTGCTGCGAAAACAGAAATCGAACCACTTGTTCCGGGTGTCGCAGTACAGCCGAAGGGCATTCTTCAACGTGACGCCGAACATTTTCCCATCCGGGAGATTCAATATCCGGCAGTTGTCGAGGAAGATCCGGCCCTTGTAGATGTAGTTTGTCCGCTTGAGCAGGTCCTTCTTGCAGTAGATCAGCTGCCGGTCGAACAGGAACAGGGTGTAGGTGTTGTTCCACAGGTTCGGTGTCATCCGGATGGCGTCGGTTTGCAGGAACAACCGGGTGCTGTGTAGGTTGATGGAGGGACCTTGGAAGTTCTCGAAGCGAGATTGCATCCGCGATAGGTACTCGCTGTGACGTTTGCCTGAGGGGAAAGGGGATATGGAATCGTTGTTTGAATGCTCTGTTTTACATTGCTTGCTAATGGTCATATGCGAAGGCGAAAATGGTAAGATCCAAATGTTCCTCTGGGGAGAATCCAAATCTCGATTACTTTTTCGAAGGGACGTGTCAGCTTTAGTAAACAATGCATTTGATCGTCGATTTTGGCGTAATTGGTTGCACGTCCACGCATATTAATATTACCATCTGATATGGGAAATTTTCCCCTACCTGATAGTGGTGTTAGTATGCGTGTGCGAGCTACCAGTTACGCTAAAGAGGCTGCATTTATAAATAGACGACATGTCTAAATTGGAACAATCGATTATCTGTCAAAGTCATAGGAAAAGCAATTCCAATCGAGCAGAAGACCTGTCATATAGATAAGATGTCGCCTCTTTACCCAATTCTGTATCTTTAAATTACGCCAAATCGAAGATCAAATGTATTCTTTATAAAAGCTGATACGTCCCTTCGGAAAAGTAATCGAGAAATGATCTTCCAATGAAGATCGAAATCTTTTACTAGAAATAAAACAAAATGGTTATCTCTGAGAAGATCAGAATGGTCTTCGGAGAACATCAAAATTGTCTCCTGGAAAACCAGAATGGAAAGCTCGACCTTTTCCAATTTGAATGAAACATTGCATAATTGATTGCTTAAAATCGGCCATTTTGGATCTTGTAAAGTTTTCAACAAATTGGGATATTTAATTTTGAAAAATATATCGGTTTTTATATATCATCTGAAAGAGCTTCATTTTCTGAGTACAGCGATATTTTTTTCGAAACCCACACACTTTCATCTCGATTTTTAAATCAAGATTTAAAGCAAAATAATAACTTCACTGTTTGACATTAAACTGTCAAACTGACAGCTCGCTCTCATATATATACAAAGTGACACCGAGGGGCGCTAATAAGGTGATTTTTGCAAATGTAATCGTTCTTATTTAAAATAGTTCCAATGTACCAAAATTTATGAAATTTGGGTTTGGGTTCCATTTTTAATACAGATTACGAATATGCTTTTACCTCAATACCTTTAAAGAACCCAATTGTGGTACGGAAACGGACACTTCGGATCGAAATGTCGTCTGAGACAAAGTTGTGGGGAAAATTATGTTTTTTTTTTTTTTTTTTAAATGTAAGCTTTGAAGTGTCCATGGTTTGAACATTCCAAAGCATTGCATTCTTCAATGGCTTTTTTTTTGAAAAAAAGTAATTTAAAAAATCGGCATGGGAATTTTGAGATTTTGGGTTTACAATTATTCTTTTTTAATTTTCACTAAAAATAAAGAAAAAAAAAATTTTGTTTATTTTTCCCAGAAAGACATTTTTCCCTACACATTTGTCTCAGACGTCATTTCGATCAGAAATGCCGTTTCTGTGCTATAATTTTTTGAAAAATTTCAAAGACACCATTTTGCAAATTTTTACAATATCTAAGATGGCCGATTTTTAGCAAAAATGTGAATCATTGCTCATAACAAACAATTACGCAAAGTTTCATACAAATCGGAGAAGGTCGATCCAGAAATTCAATCGTGTTTTCACTATTTTGCCTGGAACTGTTTTATGGTCTTCTGCAAAGACCGAAATGGTCTTCTGAAAAGATCAAAATGGCCATCCGAACAGACCAAAATAGTGTCCTGATTTGACCGAAATAGTCTTCTGACGAAACCAAAATAATCTTCTGAAAATACTAAAATGGTCCAATGAGGGAATCAAAATTAGCATGATCAAAAATGTTTTTTTTTTTTAGGAAAACAAATTTGTCAGTTGGGAAGATCAAATCAGTTGGGAAAAGACCTGAGAAGCCCAAAATGGTCACCAGAAAAGACCAAAACTGCTCGTAAGAAGCCCAACATAATCATAGAAAGATTCGAAACTGCACCTACCTTCATTGACCATCTCGGTGACCCGCCGCATGGCTGTCAGTGCCAGCTCGAACACCTCCCGGCAGTCCATGGTTTCCAGGTCGGATTTGGTGCACTTGCGGAGGTTCAACAGCGGGAGCAACTCCTTCCGCGTAGGCGAGTGCTTGACTAGTTCGCTGAGATGCAACGGGTAGCGGCAGATTCTTTGGATCGGTGCCAGCAGATGGGCCGAAATCGGTAGCTCCGGGAGGTTCTGCGAAACGCGACAACTGTTGACGGTGGGAAATTAGTACCGAGAGATTTTAGGAACCAGCCGAGAGGAGACTAACCTTTCCAGAATGGTACAAGCTTCCTTGTTGTTGGTGAAGTTTTCCAGTTCCATCAGTGCTCGCGGGTAGGAATTGCAATACGACGAGTAGATCATAAATGCCGATTGCTGCAAAGGATAGATTATGATGATCGTGTTCCATGGAGCTTCTTCCGAGTAAAAATTGTACTTACATATTCAAGGAACACTTCGCCTATCCTGTTGTTGGGCACCGCTAACCGGAGCGCGTCCAGGAAGGTCTGCTGAAACCGCCAGATTTTTTCCAGGTTCGAGAAAATTATGTTGACACTCTCCGGCGGGAAGACATCCTCCCGCTCCCGCAGAGGTTTGATATATCTGTTTCGTTAAGAAAGAATCCCGTTGAGAAAAGCTCTGAATTTTCCAAGACCAAATCTTCGAAACTCACCCTAGACAAAGCGAATTGAGCAGCTTGACGTAGTTGATCTCCGTCTCGAGCAGTTCCTTGATCACATTTTCCTTCGTTTGCACCTGACTAGAACCGCCGATCGAATCGTTCGGCACCGATGCCTCGTCCGTTCCAACGCCCATCGTTGTGCCATCCTGCAGCATATCACAGTTCTTCAACTCTCCCTCTTTCAGTCCCGCGTCCTCCAGTCCACTACTACTATTGCTATTGATAATGATGATCTGTTTTGGCATATTGTACGCGGGTAGTAGTTTAACGAAATCCATCGGGAACCAGCCGCAGTCGGAGGTGCTGTCAACGCGATCCTCATCTTCCGGCCGCACGTCGGATAGGATGGCATCGGATTTGATCCGACCCCACCACCAGGGACCAGGCTGTCGCCTCAGCACCTCCACCAGAGCTCCCTTCTCCAGTGCCAATTCCTGAGGTCCAACCGGACGGAACGAGAACAGGACTTCCGCAAATACCGATTCCTCTTGACTGCCTATCCGATGATCGTTCCGTCGGTGCTGCGTTCGATGGCCTGCGTCGTGGTCCTCCTCCTCTCCGTCGTCGCTTTCGGATTCGCTCAGATCCACTGCTCGCATGTCGTTGTCATCGTTGGCGGCCAGCCGGTCCAGTCCCGAGGGTTGACTGCGCGACTTACCGCTTAGTCGTGATATGTTGGCAACATTTTCTTTGTTGTTGCTTTTGAGCGATAATTTGTGCTTCAGGAGTGATGACCCACCGGTGCCTGTGGTGGACACTTTGGCCGAGTTGGCCCGCCGCACCGAAATCGAGTGTGGCGAGATTGTGGGGTCCTGTGTATAAGAAAGAGGATTTAGGATGCATGCATAGTGTAGTGCGGCGAGCTCAATCATAGATGGAGCCATATACAAGAAGTAGAAAACTATTCAAACATCCAACTTACCGCTCCGTCAATGCCTGCCTCCTGCAGCAGCTGTTCGTCCGCGTCCAGTTCGACCTGAATCCCCGAATCGCCACTGTTGCATTTGTCCCTACGGTGGGACTTGGTTTTCCGCCGTTCCTTACTCGAGCGCCATATCAACGGACCGAACCGGTGATGGTGATTCGAAGGTTGTTGCTGTTGCTGCTGTCCTTGGCTAGATGCATTCTGCGGCTTTTCCTGACTGCCATCCACGCTCATGCTGCTGTTGCTGACTATCAGATGATGAGGATGGTTGCTATTACTACTACTATTACTACTACTAATGCTATTGCTATTGGCTGATGGTCCTTTGGCCGGTTTGAACTGGGAAAAGGTCTTCTTGAATTTTTGCAGCACGCTCTCGGAAGCTGTTTGGAGAGAGACAAAAACAATCAATCATTAACAACGGTCAAACTGAGTACGAACTTCGAACCAACCTTGCTGCGAATGGTGCAGATTCTTCTGATTGGCGGTCAGCAATGCAGTCTTCTGATGGTGGAGGAGGTTGTTGGTTACCACACTTCGAGCATCTGCAGTCTTCGAGACATGGCTGCTGTCCGTCCGGGAGAGAACCGTCACCGCCGTCGGTGGCGTAGGCTCTGTGAGCGATGGACTAGAAACGGCTCTCAGTTGCAGGGGCTGTGTGGGAAAGAAGAGCAAATATACAAGAGTATTAGTTAGGCGGTACGTAGTCATGATTACAAAGCATTCGGATTGATCTGGATGGATGGGAAACATTCGATTCATGGGTCACGTCCGGTACGTGAGTGTGCAATGTGATTGATGAATAACACTCGAGATGGAATTGCACCTGGGCGGAGATCGAGCAATAATTTGATAAAGAATCGCTTTAAACCGACGGGGTAGGGTGACCAGAAATAAAAACAACGCAGGGACACCTAGCGGCAAATAATGGAAATTCTGGTTGTTTACATTTGTCATTTTGACTTGCTGGGAAACTTAATACAGTCCGGCCACCCTAATCAGAACACATGTTTAATCTTGAAACAGCGAGAGAGTGAGAAGTTACGAGACGCTAGGTGTCGTGGTGATGCCTTTGTATCGGTAGGTATATGAGTTTGATGGATTGATTGGAGTTTTATTGCGCTATTACGAGCGATAAAATATGCTCCTTCTTTCTGAATGACATCGTACTAGACACGGGGTGGATTAAGGCGGAGCAAATAACATCGCCTATATTTATGGCGCGATTCTGCTAATCCGGATCGTAAAATGCCATTATGGTGCTATTTCTGGACCATTGTGACGCGACAGAGGTGATTTGCAAAATATCACCGGAGCAGAACGGAGCAAGGTTATCTTCGTAATCAAAATACGATACTCGACGTAGGCCTAAGACAGTGCTGAATGAAAGTAGAATAGAACATTTCCACGTCCGGTCGTATTGGTGCGATATGTGAGAGCGTGTTAGTGGAAATCCGAGGAAAATACATAACAAACTGCTGTCAAACTCATTTTGACTGATCTAATTTCATAAATTTTTTAGGTTAGTCAGAGGAAAATAATACACAATTTCACTCGGCGAAAAGAGAAAAACTTTACTCCTCAAATTTATAGATGGCCGCGAGAGGCAGGCCTATCGCGATAAGATGGGTTCTTATTTTAGTTTAAATTTTCTCGTGCTTCAAAATCGCAAAACATCCTGGTCCTTATTATCCGGATGTCAATGTAGCTACAATTCGTTCCAGATTCATAAAAGTCTTTATGGTATAGGAAAATTTCATACCGCCTACAACAACAAGCGCTTCGGCGCGAATTAGTCACGATCTAATCTGGAGCTGAATCGCAAAAACAGCTCCCGCGCGTTCTTCAATCAATTCTAGGAAAATTCCATTCCTTACTATTGTTGTCAATGGCGGCGAAAACGGCGGAAGTTGACGTCTAAGATGAACGACGACGATAGCTCATCGCGTCCATTTGACACACGCGGAATGCAATGCAACGACAACAACTCTCATTGCTCCAACTCAGAGTAACTTACTAACCCTTTTTGGATAATCTGGACAAATGTTTGCTTCGAGTCGTGATGATTAACTCTGATCTCGACATCAAAGCAACCGAACATTCTTAATCGGGATTTAAGGTGACGGTTGATAGAATCCACAAATGGCCGTTAATATGGTAGATTTGCTTCGCCACTTCGAATTTTTGATGGCACGAAGCTCAGAAATTATAATGAGTTCGTGCAGGAAATTGTAATCACATGTATGCTGCGGTGCAGCAAAAGAGTGAATATAATTTTGCACACGAAATATTTATAGTTTCTGAGATTCATGCTATCAAAAATTCGAAGTGGTAGGGCAAAACAAAAATCATTATAACGGTTATTTGTGGATTCTACCGACTTTCACCTTAATCTGAGGATAATACCAGTTGGAGCTTGGAGAGGTTAAGGTGGAGCAAGATGTGTCAGATGTTACATTTATTAATTTATTTGTTTGTCAAAATCAACCAGTTTGCTTTTTAATTGCATTGCAGGGGGCTTACATTAAGCCTGCTGATGTTGACAATCGAAAACATAAATAAATCAATTAGATGATCCACCTTACCCTATGTGTCAGCACATAACAATCTTGCATACCATCCGAACGTGCTACCTGAGGTCTTATCATCGACCATTCGTTAACCATCCCGGCCAGGCATGGTGATTGTTTACAGCAGCCTAAAGATATCTCGATGTAAATATGTTTTGAATTTAACTGTTTATCAACAGCGCGAGAAAGTGATAACATTCGTCGTTTGCTATCGAAATCGATACAAATGGGAAGTAGGTACCTATCGAGGCTTCCTCCCGCACAGAAGCTTGTTTGGGTAGATAACACAATAGAGCTCGGTGAGGACTTTTCCAAATATGCCCTAATGGGTAAACATCATTAAATAATTAGAAACCAGAGTGTCTACCTAAGCACAGTAGTCCGATTGTCTGTGATATGACAGAAAGTGATCACGCTCTAGTGAGGTGTCTGCGAACTGGTGCTGCTGCTGTTATCCGTGCATGATGACGATAGTTCGGAAAACAGAAGCCAATTGAAATACATTTCGTTATCGTGTTATCGTCGTGTGTTAATCATAGATGCTCAACAACTGTTGTTGGGCATTGTCATGTGGAAAGTATTCGAAAGGTGCGTGGCGCATTCTTGGGGAGGTAAATTTTGAAGTGTGTTCGAGGTGTTTATCTCGCTTGTTAATGAAACCCCTCAAGTAGGGGTTAGTAACGTCAGTCGGTCGGTGAAACACTGGTAGAAATGTTGTCGCTTGGATTCATATGGAATAGTAGTCAACAGTAACTGTGTTACTATAATCAACTGTTGACTATAATCGAAGACAACAAATCAAGAAGACTGGCAACTCTTCCATTTTCTCATACGAACGCTATGAGACAGGCACAATCGCGTCATCTGCCGCTCAAAGGTAAATGCTTCGAACGAATTTGATAGCAAAGATTACATCCTCAGACGAAGGTGTTGTGTATTTGCTCATTTTTCTATGCGTTGCTTCCACCTTCACTCAAGCGCAGCGCTACTGTATCTGTTGTTTGGATTCCGGCAAAGTTGCCAGTCTTCTTGATTTGTTGTCTTTGCTATAATACAGTACCCGTTCGATTTTGACAACAAGCCCAAAACAACGGTATTATTTTGAAATTTAATGTAATTTAAGAAGAGCCCATAATTGTGTGTAATTTGATAATGTAGACAAAATTCAATTTCTTCTAATTAAAACTACAAAATTATCATCGGATTCGGAAATTTATGCCGGAATCTCAACAGCAAAACGATTCGGTTACATTTGAGCTGTTCAATATAATAATTCTAAAGCTACTTTAAAACTAAATCTTCACTACAATTACAAGCTTTGATCATTTGAATAAGGTTGAACGTGTTTTGACATTATTGTTTAGCAAAATAGGCTTTACAATTAGGATCAAAGATTAACCGAACGTTCAGCTGTTGAGATTTCACTTGAAGTTTTCGTTTCATCAGGAAGTTTCCTAAATTTTCAAGAAGTTCTCGGAACTTCTCAATCGCTCCACCGATTTTTCTTATGTTCACGACTATATAGACTTCGCCATTTTTTGGAACATTCCTGAGATTCTTGGATTTGCTGCTCTGAATTTCTTTGATCTTCAAAGTACTAGGAAAATCCCTGCAAAAAATAAACTGTCTAAAAATCTCAGCATTTTGTTTTTTGGACATTCTTGAAGATCTCGGAACTTTTTTAGAATTTTTCGGAAATTCCCTGAGATTCTTGAGACTTTTGTTAAATTGCTGCAATTTTCTGGTAGTTGATTGAACTTCCCTGAGGATCTATGATCTTCTCTCATTCTTCTGAAGCTATTGAAACTGCCCAGAAATACACGAAATTGTCTTAAAAATCTTAAAAACTTCCTTGAAAATCACTGGACTGTCCCAAAAATTTCCGGAACTGCATTTTTAAATTTGCCGAAAGTCTGGATTTTCTGGAAGTTATTGGCATTGCTCTTAAGGTATCTGAGCTTCCCAGAAGATCTCTAGACCTAATTTTCCTGAGATTTTCGGAATTTATTTAAAGCTTCCGCAAATTTTCCTTAAGCTATCATACCTTCCCTAAAGTTCTTAGAATTTCTTAAAAGTTTCTGCAATTTCCCAGTTCATGAAGCTACCCGAAAACCTCGATATTGTATTTCATTCTTCGGAACTTCTTTATAGTTCCTTAAATTGTTGAAGACCACCGTGAAGTTCTTGAAACATCCCTGAAGCTCTCATTACTCTTTTGATGATGTTGCTGGAATTGCAATGAAATTGATAAAAGTGCTTTAAGATCACTGAACGATCTTTAAGATCACTAAACTTCTTGAAGTTAAGTTAAGTTTTATTAAGTTTTCTAAACTTCCCTGATGATCTCTGGAATATCTTAAATTTTTTGGAACATCTTGAAGATTCTCGTTATTTTGCTGAATTGAATGGAACTGCCTTTATGTTTTATAAATTTACCTGAAGCTCTCGGAACTTTGCTGAAGTTCCCGCAATTTTTCTAATATTCATGGAACTGTACTGAAGTTCTCACAAATTTCCCATTATTTATGTAACGTCCCTAAATATTATTAAATTCAAATGAAGTTTTCGCAGCTTCTGTAAAACTCCTGCAATTTTCCTGTTTTAGATCTTCACTAAAGTTCCCGAAATTTAAAGAACTTTAAAACTTCGCCGTAGTTCTGGACGTTCTCAGAATTAAAGGGTGTCTCAGAAAGTATGAGCACACTTTCAACTCGCCGCCATTTCTTACCCGATGAAATTTATCAGCTGTTCATCGATGTGTGTTGTTGTTTACTTATTGCTAAATATGTTTGTGTGCGCAAAGTTTACAAAATCATCAAAATGCGACGCTTTTCCCCGGAAAAGCGCAAACAGGCCGTAAACCGGGACCGGTGGACCGAAAAGTGGACCAGAAGATCACCAAGCTTTCGTCAATAAGAAAAATGCCTCTGTTCGAGATTTGAAACTGCGAAAAAACTGAGAACATCGAAGAGTAACGTCCAACGTGCCAATGCAAGAAACGGGTTGAAATCGTTCAGGAAGCAGAAGAAGCCGAAACGGAGTCAAAAACAAGCCAAATCCGTCAAACCGAGGGCTCGAAAGCTA